TCCCCTCCCCCTATTTTGTAGACGAGTAATGAGTGATTTAAACTTTAGGATCAGCGTTTTATGTTGTTTGCGTCCACAAGATGTATTAAAAAAACTTATCATGTCAGGGCACGATTTGGGAAAAATTAAATAAGTGTCCCTCCCCCCCAACCTCGATTAATCACCCCCCTCGAACAAGCGCCCCGTGTCCTCTCCTAAATTTGAAATAAGCGCCCCGGGTGCTAATTCGAGGATTTGCGGTAACTCCTGGGGGTTCAGCGTTGTTTGCTCTTTTGACTAATTCGATCTAGATCTCAGCAGGTTTGGAGCGATTTTACAATGCCGGGCCACTTATTAACATATCCCTCAACGCTTCTCAGAACGAAACATATAGAAACAAAAGGAAACATTCAAATTGAGATATGTAAATGAGTGACCCGGTATTCTACAATCTCGCGGATAGCTGCATAGAACCAGGTACCGTCATTACTCACCGAGCGATCAAAAACGCGGAAGGTTGTCTCTGGTTTCTAAAGGTAAGGAAGAAAAACGAGATCAGACATTCTTCTCTAAAGCTTTATGATAAGCTTACAGCGATATCACAAAGGCCAAGCTCACCTCAGGTAATGATCGATAAAATGCAAGGAAGCCTTGTTCTGCCGCTCCATCTGCAGACGTACAAAATAAAATTTATTTATGCTGTCGTGAAAATGGAATCAAATTTATTAAATCGATATCATCACCTAGAGAAAACTGTTGACAAGGTTGGACAGCCATGATTTCCGACGGAGTGGATGAAGTGTTCTTCTTGTCTCTTCCAGAAAATGGCGGACGACCGAAATAGACACACGTGAGTAACAAATTTGGCGGGCATCCGGGAACTCGTAATCCGACGTGTCTTTTCGTTAGATTCCGTCATGAGTTCGGAATCCGAATAAACTCGGTAAGGCCTGGGTACGGGACAAAATTCAAAATGTCGGCGGAAGAGGACACGGAGTTGAGAGATATGGTGGCTCAAACTTTAGAAAGTAAAGGTGTTCTCGGAAAAATCAGGGTAGGGAAACGTGCAATTTGAATCAAGTGTTTACGTTATCTCAAAATTTTGATAATTGGAGTACCTTTTAACTCGATTTGTCAGACCATTTTATTTCGTAAGTATGGTGAGAACACCCCACGGCAACTAACAATGACGAATTTTTGTTTCAGTTTGTAAATTTTCTTTGTGGTTTTTCAGCTAATCGATTTTAGTCCTTTTAATTGCTACTGCTTTCCATGCAAAGAAACATGCTCTTCTTCTCGATGCTATTAAAGAAAAAAAACAAACAAACTTACAACTGAAATATAATTCTTGCTACATTTTTTCCCCTACATTTCGCTTTTCGCTTCATCAAGAATTCTACCATTCATTTGGTTCAATTATCACCTCAAAAAAATGTTTAATTTTTTTTTTCGGAAAATCTATAGGTCGTCAGAAGGCCAGTTTTCTCGCAAGGCTTCTGTGGTTTCCGGACGAAACCACAGTTTCGGTCTATGACATTTTTGTTGATAAAAGGCCTTGAAGCAAACAGGGCTTGTAAGTGATTTGGTACAGCAATTTAATGTTATCTGACTTTGAAGTTTCGAGGAATAGTAATATAAACATTCAAAACTAAGGTGTTTTGCTGTTCATGTTTTGAGGACAGTGAATTTGTATATGAGAATCACTTGGGGTTTCCAGCTGTTAGTTAGGTAACCAGTATATGTTCTATATTATGATGTTTCATAGGCACAGCTTAGAGCAAGTGTCTTTCTAGCATTGGAGGAACAAGAAGGATCCGAGGTTTGTTTGATATATATTATGGAAAGTGAAATTGTGCAATTAATTAGTATTCCTGGGATAGCTTATTGACTTTAGCGCATTTGATTCTATATATGCAGCATAATTCATCATAATTTAGGGTGCTTTTCTTTAGGATGATCTGAACTAGGATCAGTGATCCAAGATCACTTTGGATCTTAGTGCATAGATCAAACAAACTGATGAATCCTTGCCTAGCGTGGATTCATTAAATCCTTTGATGTACCATGATCCTAAAATCACACTTGTAAATCCTGACCTGAAGAAGTTTATAGGCACAAGTGAAGGTGAGAACTCTTATTTTGTTCGTTGTAAAAAACCTAGACAACACAACTATTTATAAAGATAAACTGTAAGTCTGTGTTCCTCACTTCTTGTCTTTATGTTCATCAGGACGTCTTGTTACAGGATTAGTAAGAGAGTTCCTGGAATATTTTGATCTTGATTTCTCCATTGCTGTATTTGATCCAGAGACTAATTTTGTAAGTGATAGCCTAATATATATGCTATTTATCTGTTAAGGAAAATAATGTTTTTCATGTTTGATACAAGTAAATTCAAATGAGTTCTTAAATATCACACTGAGTGGCCCTGGACTCTGGATTGCCTGGTCTGAGTTTGAGCACTGTGTTCTAATGAGCAAGACATTTCATGCAGGTACAGTGCTTTCTCCACCAGGATGTTAAAGTGGGTATCAGCAAATTAAATGCTGGGGAGGGTGGGGGTGGTAACTCTGTGATGGACTAACATTTCAATGGGGGGGGGGGGGGCAGTGCTGGAAATAGTTTTTCTTTAACAGGACATATGTCCTTTCAAATCTTCATTTTGGTCGGATATCATCTAAATTTGACCGGACATTAATTTGCATAATTGATTTGCATAAGTACTTGGCATAATAAAATTTATTAGCATGCTGTAAAGATTTTCAGTACAAATCGTTCAAAACGGCATTTAAATTTAATGTATTTATCATTTATGATGATTAGATGACTTTATCTACAAGATAACTGCACCAATCTCTCCTGGTTATCTCCTGATTATATGTTCTTCAAGCAAACCTGGTTTTCTATTGAATGCTACCATTACAGGGACACAGTCGGCTTTGGGACCGTGCTGACCTGGACACTTGTTTTCTCACTTTAAAAAAAGTTCACCTCCATCTGACATCAAAGTACATCTAGAAGTCCACTTCAATCTTCACAGTGTTTTGCTTGATTTTCAATCGTTTACTGAAAAACCTGTTTTTGAGTGTGCTTTTGTTCATCCTATGATACATTTTTATCATATTTGGTTAAAAACAGTATGGATTGCGTCTCTGTGATATGCAAATTAGCTAAGAAATGGTATCTAATGCGCATGTGCTCCCGCTGACTGTCCCTTTGAAGCAGGAACCCATCACCAGGAGTGTGCAACTACCCCAATTATTCCTGTCCCGGCCTTTTCACAGACCCATCATGATTCATGCAGTCCAAGAGACACAATGGGTAGGCATACATGACATACTCAATGCTCAAGGGTTTGCAATGCATTATAGAGCGGTTTCAAACACGATCAGCCACTTGCAAGTTTTCCGATGTGGGGGAATCCTTTACAGCAAAGCAAAAGGATAGATTGCTTTCTTTTCTTATCTTAAATGTTATAGAAGCAAAGATCTTTGACCATGTATTTCTGGATGGACATAATGTCTAAGAAAATAACCATTATTGATTGTCAACACAGAGAAACGTAGTCGCCATTATGGTAGCCTGTGAACGCAGACATATTTTCGGCTGTCCACTAAACCAGAATTTTTGGTCCCTAAAGATGAAATTTTAGCTGTATTGGCGACCATACCGGTCGCAGTTTCAAGCCTTTTAACAAAGTATCTAACTAAATTTTACAGATGGACAATAACGTGGTGCTGGTGAAATGTTCGGTCATCATGTGTGATCATAATGTGAAATTGGCTGGACATATTTAAAATTTGGTTGGACAATGTCCAAAGACCGACTGCTATTTCCAGCCTGGGGGGGCGGGGTGGGGGGAGGGTAGGAAATCTTCTTGTCAGTTCACGCTCTGGAAACCAGAAATACACTAGATCAGCCACTAGAGTAAAACACAGATTTCAATGTTAACTAATCTTCAGCCACTTATCTTCTCTAATATGTTGGAGTGGAAACACTTAGATTGTCAATAATGACTGACATTTTCAGAGTGACAAATATCCTGGAAGGAACAACCTTGCAAGAGAGTTGAAGCTCAATGATGCTGATAGCACAGCTCCTAGTCCGTTACTAGCTGAAGTTGTGAAGAGACTAAAATCACCCAGCACCAGTGGTGAGGTATGTGATATATGGAGACATTATAACATGCAGTACCAGTAAACATAGACTGTGAACTGTGAACAGGCTCCTGCCAAGCACATAAAATATTAGGCAAGTTAAGAAGTGAGAGTAAGAAAAAATGCCATCTTTTCCTGTTTTAACCACTTTTGGCTTGTTCAGCTTGTCCTGGACCACACTCTGGCTTCCACTCGCTAGTTTCTTTTTTTCACCTTACACGCCAACCAGGAGCCGGTTTACTGGCTACAGTGAATATAGGCAAGCAATGCATCCAAGAGGGGTAGCAACACAGTCCTATGGTGCTAATTCATGGCACAAACACCAAATAGAAGGTACATTAAATTCATTTGATCAATATTTACCAGCAATCACCATTTGAGAGAGGACAAAGCAAATTTTCCTGCCTTTCTTTCTTTTGTGGTTACTTTCTTTTCTATTTACGTGTATTAACAGGGCATGCATGCATGTATAGTTTGATAACAAGCAGGACCTTTTCTGTTCCGTGATCTTTTATTCGTTATGAAATCTTTAGCCTTTGAAAATAGCTGACTTTTTAAAATAAGTGATCTCCAGCGACCTTTTCGAAAGAACCCTTAATGATCAAGAGTTTGAGCGTCAAAGTAGACTTTCTTCTTATACAACTTAGGCTCTGGTATACAAATGATAAAAAGTGTTTTATTTCCTTTCAATTATGAAAGATTTCAAAAGAGGCAGTTTTAACATCACCGAGACATAGTGCCCCGGATAGTCCAAGGAGTGTTAGTCCTCCTAATGGAAACAAGGTACATGTAGCTATAAAAAATCTACTCAAAGTCCCATATGGAGTCTGTGCCAAGAGCATTATTTTGAGATCTAGTTTCCCTTTATTTTTTTATTTCAGTACATTAACTTGTTCAACAGACAGGTACATTGTATAATATGTTGTAATAACTTGTTTCAGGCTTTATCCTGCCCATGAACTTGCAAAAAAAATGAATCAAACAATAGTCCCTAATATAGACCAACAACTCTGTGACAACTTGGTCAATATTTGACTCCGACAGTCACAGGAACTGGCTGCACAAGTAAAAATTTAAAAAAATTATTTGATTATTTTTAACTTTTTTTTTTATATTTTAATTGCTGCATAATTTAGCACATCACTAGATATATTTTGTTATTGGAAAAAAGAAAGTTTGAGCAAAATAAAGATGCTGATCATGAAAATCTATTTTTAAAGATAATGTGAAAATAAAAATATTAAAACTTATATGAATTTCGGATGATAATTTGGTAAGAAAAATAACTGTGTATAGAATTAACTTAACATGGTTACTAAAGTTAAAGCGTTCTTTGTTGAAGGTTGATGAAGACATTGGTGAAGTACTTAGCTCTGACATTGAGAGTGATGATAGTGTGGTAAAATTATATTAAACTAGATTCATTCAGGAATAAATGCCATCTTAGGCTTGAAACAATTTGTGGTGCAAACAGTAATAATTATCCCTTTATTACAGTCATGTTAAACTGGACAAAGATCTGTTGCTCATGTTGTTAGAGGCTTAAAAAAACTTAGCTAATAATTTATAATCTATCTTTTAATGACTAAAATACAATAGTTACTATTAGCAAGTTTATTGTAGTTGTTATCTCTGCCCTAGTGATTGCAAGTTATTTAAATTCTTAGCCATAAATTTAAAAGTAAAAGATAACAAATGTAACAACTATGTATAAGTATGCAACAAGTTCAATAAAGTTAAAGTAAAAGGTAAATTAAGGACTTCCTAATGCCATCTATATGCTGGTCAAAGCATGATTATTTTTGTTTCTGAATATTTGGCATTGAATCATAAAGAAGTACTGCTGATTTGCCATTGATTAAACAGTGTATGTCTTCCAAATTATTATATCATAATAAACACAGGAAGTGATCCCTTACTTTATGATGCAGATCCAACAAGCAAAGGGTTCACACTGTCCAATTTTTTTTACTTACATGCCAGTTTAATAATTATTGTAACTTAATCATCTTAATGTTGATCACCAACAAAACATTTCTTGGAAGGTAATTGTTAAGGTTCAAATTAAAGTGATTCTTGATTCTAATTTGGAGGATTGACAAAACCTATTACTCAAGAGTAATTGTTCTTACCACATGACTGTAAACATTTTAACCTCACTTTACCAGCTGTGAAGCTTTTTGGATCTTTGTATGAGTTATTTGCCTTTTAAGCCCCCCACCTTTTATGTCTTATTTTGACAGCCTTCAAGTCCAAGACCAAGCAAAATTCCGCAAAGAAAGCGAGACGACGTTCCACAGAGAGTGCGAGATGAGAGGTCCATCAAATCTGACAAAAGCCAGCAAGACTCATTCCTTGAAAAACTAAACTCCAGCAAAGAGCAGAATTCCTTGTCAGATTCAAGAAGGGACAAAAGTGGAAAAAGGTAAATTGTGTTGTGTGCTGCGTGTGTCGTTGACTGTGGTACTGAAATTATGACATCTCTGCTTGTTAAGAAAGGCTGTTATTTTTTTCAACAATACTCAACTGGTGTAATACTATTTTTTATCAATCATCTCTGAACAAAAGTATCATGCGATACATGTACCAGGGCTCAAGAGCTGCATTTTAGCGCCCTGTCCATTTTAGCTTATTGGCCCAGTGACTAGTAATAGCTTTAAACTCACTACTAAAATGCAGTTGTCTTATTTTGCATGCGTTGCAGGCCTGTGATACTAAAAATTAGACTGTCTGAAATTTAGTGGCATCAAATTTGCACAATGTATTTCTCTTTTATGATGGAGTTTGAAGCTTTGAAGAAAATTTCTTTCAAATTTGAAATATCACATGAAACTTCATGCTTTACTACTCTGTAAATAATTATTAATCAGGGCTGTGCTTTAGAAGTGCCCAGGTGCCACAGGCAACTGACTTTTGCCTGGAAAAACCCTCTTTTTTTTGACTGACTTTTGACTGGAAAAAACCCACTTTTTCATATAAGCTTAAGTGCTGGGCATGCAGGATTTAGTTTTTCTTGTTAATGCTAATATTTTTGGCATTGCCATTTGATTAACACAAGATTTGTGTGCATCATTAATTACATGTGTAATCTATTCAACACAGAAGCCCAGATGTCACCATTGGCAGTGACGATGGAGAAGATATTTTTGCCGATTTCCCATTAAAGACAAGGTGAGTCTGTAACACTGTGGTATGGAGTATTACACATTAAATAAGAAGGGAAAGTAAAGTCGTTTGCTAGTTACCATACCACTGCCAGAAATAATAGAATATTACACGTATTTTTTGTTAGTAAAGGGTCCTTTCAGTTCCAAAGTTCTCCTCAATATTTATTGGTTCTAACTCATTAAGTCTGTAGACGAAACCCGGCTTGTTGTTTAAGAAACAAGAAAACATGTACCGTGTTTCTATCGAGTTTTAGTAGAATTCTACTGATATACTAATGCAAGTGCTGCAATCTGATTGGCTGAGCCATTGCACGCTATAAGCCATTAGTGTGCAGTGGCTTGGTGTGGTCGAAAACATTGCAACGTTTCCTCGTTTCTACGAAGTTTTGAAAGAACATTTAGAAACAAATGGATGATCAAATTCCTGAGAAGACTAAAAGGAGGGCATTTTCGGTTCTTAAATTAAAAAGCTCAAAATTTTTGACAGAAACTGATAAGCGCGCGTACGCAACTGCAAATGTAAAATTAACAATTCCGTGTAAATTATCTAAAGCGAGAAGTTTAATACTAAGATCAGAAATAATTGGAATCGTTATTTGAAGGAAAATTCAGTTAGAATTCTACTCAAACAATTAGATTATTCGCTCTCGATTTCTATGAGACGATGGTTGATTCGGCCTTCGGCTTCATCAATTATCACCTCATAGAAGTCTCGAGCTCATAATCTAATTGTTAAATAGAAACACGAGTGGAAGTTTGGGAGAACGAGAAATGCTGTGGGAGCACAAACCGTGGGCGAGTGTTTCCACAGCTTTTTTGAGTTCTCCCAAACTTTCACGAGTATTTCTATAACTCGATAGAAACACGGAGAACATGTTTTCTATTTCTTTTAGAAAACACAGCGACGAAAAAAAGGGAAACAACTTGTTTACTTTGATTATCAAAATGTAAATTCTCTTTTCTCGCTCCATCATTACGTCAACAGCCTTGTGCTAGTTCTGTGTTTCTATCGAGTTATAGAAACACGATTTTAAACCAATCAGCGCGCCTATTTTCTTAGGGCTGTTTTCTAATATGCATTCCATGTGCTGCAGCTGTTCTTAGTTAAAAATTGAACCTGGCCATTTTCGAAGATATGGAATATAGCTTACCATCGATGTTTATTTTTATTGCAGAGAAAGTCAGAAAAAGGGATCAGCAACAGAAACAGGTAAAAGAGAATCGAATTTTATAACGAATGTGGTTTTACTCTTTTTTTTTTTTTCGCTCATTTTTCATGCTCTAAAAATAGAGTACTTGATCACAGGTTAAATTTTGAGGATTTCACATGGTTTGTTAACTACGTAATATTAAAACTGATACCTGTAACAGATAACTGTTTCTTGTTTTCAGCATCTAAGTCCGCTGGCGGGCTGTCATCTCTTAAGGGTGCTCCATCTCTTGGCAACAGTGGGCTAGGCTCATTGAAAGGAGCCCCACCACTACCAGGAATGAATAACAATAACAGAGGTGAGTGATCTAACAAAGATCGAAACTAAATTTACTAGCGTTTGTGTTAATTTTTTTTTTAAATGGCCTGTAGCTAAGACTTACTGTTACTTACAGAACCTACCAAATCACCCAACTGGCAGGACCTCGCCGATATCGATAGCAAGATCAGTAAACTCGGATTTGGTAAGTGATAAGACTGAGCGACACGTCAATCGACGTGCATCTGAGAGATTCTTGCTGATTAGTTTTTTCTCTGGCGCGAAAATTTAAAATCTAGCAACGACCAATCAGAGACAATAGAGCTACGTCATACGGTTATCTCAATCTCGGCCCCAGAGCCCGCGCATTTTCGGTCACCGGTGAACGAAAGCGCGACGCTCTAGACGAAATCAAAAACCGGAACCAGAAAATCATCTTTCCGTTTTGATTGTGCGCTTGCGTTTAAGTTCAATAACGGTTTCTGAACATGCGTAGAGAGAGTAACCGCTGTGAGTAATGCTGGCTCACCTTCTGATTTCTCCCAGAGGTCTCGATTTCTTAGTGCTAACCGCTAACCAAAAGAATCGTGGCTTCTGGAAACAAGAATTCCGACGTATCTTTCGAGTGAGGGATGAACTGAGCGCATAGCGAAAACGGGTCGGGCATTATAAAAAGCAAAAAATCTCTAGTAGTTAATTTGCTTCTCCCCTTTCTTAAACTGTCGGCTGCAATTTCGCGCGCTTTGATGCCAACGACGTCAAAGGCCGACAAGCTAAGTTGACACTGGAAACGGAGCCTGATGCCCGTGACAACAACACAAGTTGAACTTTAAAACCTAGTCACCAAATTTTCGTCGCGCCGTGCTCAACTGATAATCTTTGTATCTTTCATAAAGTTTTTACCTTATTGTATCTGTCAGATATTCCAGATGAAGAGAAAAATGGCGAAGCCAACGACTACAATGATGATTATGAGGATGATTTCAATCCGACTAGGTGCAGAGTGTTTAATTGTAATTTACTAGGAACTTTATGATTTGTTTTTGTCTTTTCACGTCTTTTTCACATTTTAACCTAGAAAACCCGAAATACGTTCTGATCTACAGTAGTCTGAAGGTTCAACCGTCCTCTTGCGTGTAATCCCCGAGCGTCCCAGGCCCTAAAAAATAAGCAGAAAAAAATGATAACGTTGAATATTCTTTATTTTACCCAGTAAGGAAACCCAGCAGTAGTGCGGTCTAATTACTTTTTATTCTCGGGTGTTTCTTGTTAGTGACATGAGCATTCCCGAAGACATTGATGAGCAGTTGTCGATAAGCAGTTTCCACAGCGGCAGCGCCAAGGTTCGTAATTTACTTGTAAAGTCAGAGTTCAGGATGAAACCAGAGGGATGAAATAAAAAACTTTTGGAAAAAATGCAATCATCATTTTTCATTCAGTAGGGCAAAACAAGTATCTTTTTAGAGCCCCTTTCGGTGTGCGGCTGAAAATACCCCGAGCGAACAGTTTTGGATGCGAACGTTTTCAACTTTCTGTACCCTGGTCGTTAAACCCAAATGGCAGTCGCGCGGACGTAAATGGAACAGATTGTAAAGTCCTATTAAGAGTCTATTAAAGCTCGAGTTAAATTATTTGTACCGACACTGAGCCATTAGCTAGCCGTTGGTCATGTTTACTTCCGTCGGGAAAAGAAAGAAAAAATGGCAGTTTTGTCCTTGACTCGAGAGGCACAAGCCGGGTTGACTGTCATTTCAGGGTAATTGCACTCAGAAAAGACGGAGGTTTTCGTTCCATGCTTTACGGCCGCCATACTATTATCATATGAATGTACTTGCTTTTGCCTTGATCTCAGTTTTACACTGAAACTTGTTTGTCTTCTTGTCGATAGCTGGATGATCTTCTCACCACAGACCGCACAGTGTCGCAGGCCAGTGTTGGAGATCTCGACTTCGCAGAGGATATTTTGAACTTTTGAGAAACAGTTCTTAATTAACGAAGTGCACATTTTATGGCTTGGCTTAGCGTGTTTAGTGTATTATATGTAATTTACCCTGCTGTATATTATAACCGTAAATAACAAATCAAGTATTCTATGTTACTGGGTTACTTGAGCTATCGTATGACTTTTTTGTACGCGCCATCTTGAAACTAATAATTTTGCTTTGATGCTCTTTTCACTTTTCTTCTTTTCCGAATTTCGAATTTTAAGCACGATCTCGAATACCTTGTTTACTAAATAAGTCTAAAATGAGCATAGTCAAAGTCTCGTTGTAGCGGTAATTGTAACCATCTAAGAGGTCTTGTAAATATGTATTTAGCTCCAAAACTTGCCTTTTGTTTCAAAACAGTTTGGTGGCATTGATATCTTGTTGCAATGGAATCACATTTCTTGAAGAATGAACCCTCCATTTCTCAAACCTCTCGATTGCTCTAACCAAAAGTCGTTTCCGTTGGGTTTCTTTCACAGTAGTTTTAATCCGATATCTCCAGTTTCCGATATTTCGAACCAATTTCGTTTCCCCGGGAGATGCGAGAAATCAGGATTCAACAAGTCAGGATGTGACTGAAATTCATAGCAACTTTCGCCATTGTATTCAGTAAACAACCGACAGACTCGGAGAACTTCTCAACATAAATTCGGCGTCTAATTGTTTTGATATTTTTGGCATTTAATTTATTTACTAAAGAGGTATTTTATTATGTATATAGTACCTGCATATGCATTGTATATTGTCGCATATAAAGACGCGAGTGACAAGGAGGCGTTTATGCTCTGAATAAAATTTTATTCGAAGAACACTGAAGTCTGTTTTGAGGGTGGCAGCCCAAAGTAAAAGGGATTGGTAACGCCATTTTATACGTCTCCAGGAATAAAAGTACTGCATGTGAACTGAAATTGAATTAAGCCTCCGAAAATAACTTAATTTGACGGGAACATATGCCTAACAGTCAAGGATGTCCTGAGTCTGGAATTGACGAAGACTTTCGAACAGGAACGGAATACTTCCGAACATAAGCCGAAGATTACAGGTCTACGACGATTTTCGAGAGGGTGGCTCGCGAAGATTGCAGAAGTTCAACCGATGTTTTCACATCTATGAAGTAGTCAAAGCGTAGGGCTTAATCTCTTACCGAGATGGCAGTCGATTTTTTGCGACCCTCTTCTGTAACCCCCACGGGAGGCTAGGGTTGGAAAAGAGTTTATATTAGGCTCATTTCGTCAGATTGTCTTTCTATTCTGACTGAGAAAATTACCTCGAGATTGGCTGAGAGCAAGCCAAGGCTTGTGCAATTTTGAGAACAATTTTCAAACATCACTCTAGCGTAAATCCTTCATTGCACTCGCAATTATGATTTTAGATTAAATTGTAAGACGTGCATTTTGTACGATTACCCGATTACCTATACTCGTTTGTTTTTCTATACTCAAAAGTGACCCAAGACAATCACTAAAAATTAATATGGGAGGCCATATCAGTCAAAAGTGGTATGAGTTCACGACTGGTGACCAAGAAATCGATCGCTATGGTTGAGTTTATCGATTAGTGATTGAGATTGTCGATCGCTATGGTTAAGATTATCGATTGCTGATTGAGAATGATGGTCGCTATGGTCCAAAAAGCGATTGAATATTAAGACTGACGATTGCTATCGTCGAAAAAAAGATTGGTGTCTGAAAACGATCGTCCAGAGATTGACGATCCGGAACACCTACCGCTATGATCGAGAAATCGACTTGCAACTGAGAAATGGAAAGGCCTGGTAATAAGAGAGGGATAGTTCACGTATTTTTACATGAAGAAGTATCCCAAGAATTTACCTTGTGATCTAAGATGGCGGCTGATGATCGGAGTAGTCGAGATGTCGAGGAATTCCTTGACTCCATGAAACAATGCTTTGACGATGTTGATCAGCCGCTTACTGACGAAAATGTTTCTATTCCATTAGACTACTGAGAGAGTAGGCTAGAGGACCATTTCCAAATTGTTAGCGCAATAGCAATCGCAATGCAGGGTAATGCCAGTGGTGATCTGAAGCAGACTGTTGAAGACCTGCTGTCATTTTCGACAAAATTTGCTCCAGGAAATCCATGCCATGAAGGTTCAGAGGGAAAAAAACGGCACAAGGTCATCAGCCTGGGTTCCTTCAGCTTAAATGTGCAATAAGTAAGCCCTACTAGTGCGGTGAATTTCAAAATAATCCAAGTACTAAAAAGAATGACTCACTTCCACTTTATTTTTACCATCAACTGGCTTATCTCAATGTAAAGGCAAACCATTCTTCATTATAGTGTTTTTTTGCCATTTTTTACTTTGGTAAGGTGAAACAATGCCATTACTTTATATACTTCAGTAAAATTGTTAAGGAATTCCAGTTAAAGTAAACCACTTTTATTGGTAGAGCAATTCACACTTCACTTATTAGACAAGCAAAATAATGTTAATTAAGTACATGTACATTCAACAACTACTGTTAAGGTTATGTTTGTGTTAGCTGACAAATCAGTATGTTCATGTTTTTGAAATTGAATAAACCATGATGTTTGAATATTGTCTCACCATTTTGTTGTGTCACTTAGGATTTACAGAGAGTGTCAAAACCAGAAACACAACTCACCATCAGACTCTTGAAGACATTTTTAGTTATAGAAATTTGCAACCAAACCAAATATAAACCACTACCACATTATTGACTCTATTTTGGTAATCACATGTCAGTAGTACTGTAATGCTGTTGTGTAAGTCTATCCAGATAACTAACTGTATATTGCACTGATAGAAGACTGCTGAACTAGGTTTCTGGTAGAGAAGGCAAATTTTGATTCAGGTAGTTTTTATACTACAGACACATAAAAACTTGGCCACACATCTTCACTGTCTCTTATTATGTGTCTCATGGTTCATCTACATGTAGTTTAAACATGGAGACAAGATGGGTTACATGTACATGTCCATACAATAACAACTTCCACTGAAATGATGGACAGGGAACCTTTAAGTGTCTTTTTTACATCTCTGAATTTTTCCTGTTACTTGAGCTTCACTTTCATACACCTTCATTCACTATCATTCATCCTCATTCACCTTCATTCACCATCATTCACCTCCATTCACCTTCATACACCTTTATACACCATCATTCACCTTCATTTACCTTCATACACCATCATTCACCCTCATTCATCCTCAATCACCTTAATTCACCATCATTCACCTTCATACTCCATCACCCTTATTCACCCTCATTCACCCTCATGCACCTTCCTACACCACTATTCACCCTCATTCACCTTCATACACCTTCATTCACCTTCATACACCTTCAATCACCTTCATACACCTCCATTTACCTTCATACACTTCCATTCACCTTCACACACCTCCATTCACCTATCTACACCTCTATTCATCTTCATACACTTTCATACACCATCATTCACCTTCATACACCATCATTCACCCTCATTTTCTCTCATTCACCTTCATTCACCATCATTCATCCTCATTCACCTTTATTCAGCCTCATTCACCTTCATACACCACCATTCACCTTCATACACCTTCATATATCTTCACTGATTCACTATCATTCATCTTCATTCACCTTCATTCACCATCATTCACCTCCATTCACCCTCATCCACCTTCATACACCTTTATACGCCATAATTCACCTTCATTTACCTTCATACACCATCATTCACCCTCATTCATCCTCAATCACCTTAATTCACCATCATTCACCTTCATACTCAATCACCCTCATTCACCTTCATTCACCCTCATTCCCCCTCATTCAACTTCATACACCTTCATTCGCCATCATTCACCCTCATTCACCTTCATTTACCATCATTCACAATCATTCCCCCTCGTGCACCTTCCTACACCACTATTCATCCTCATTCACCTTCATACACCTTCATTCACCATCATTCAACCTCATTCACCCTCATGCACCTTCATACACCATTATTCACCCTCACTCACTTTCATTTACCATCATTCACCTTCATACACCTTCATTCACCATCATTCACCCTCATGCACCTTCATACACCCTCATTCGTCTTCATTCACCCCCATTCGCCTTCATACACCTTCATACACCTTCATTCACTATCATTCACTATCCTTCACTATCCTTCACCCTCACGCCCCATCATCACTCTCATTCACCGTCATTCACCTTCATACACCATCATTCACCCTCATTCACCTTCATTCACACTCATTCACCATCATTCACCCTCATTCACTCTCGAGTACATTAATGCAAAGAATGTTGTAATACATTTGCAAACTTCTGTAACGTTTACACTGTAGCCCAAGAGAATTACATACAGTGGGAATGTTTTATGAGAACTACATATTGAGCTAAGTCACCCACCCCTGTAAGAAGGCCAGCTGTATCGCGAACAAGTGCACTTATGCCCAGGATTGAGTGTACTTACAAAATTAATAATATACATGAAAAAATTAAACGATTCTGATTGGCTGAGAGNGCAAAGGCAAACCATTCTTCATTATAGTATTTGTTGCCATCTGTTACTTTGGTACGGTGAAACATTGCCATTACTTTATATACTTCAGTGTTAAGGAATTCCTGTTAAAGTAAACCACTTTTATTTCTAGAGAAACAGTTCACTTTTTAGACGAGCAAAATAATGTTTTAAAATTAAGTACATGTACATTCAGTAACTACTGTTAAGGTTATGTTTGTGTTAGATGACAAATCAGTATGTTCATGTTTTTGAAATTGAATAAACCATGATCTTTGAATATTGTCTCACCGTTTCGTTGTGTCACTTAGGATTTACAGAGAGTGTCAAAACCAGAAACACAACTCACCATCTGACTCTTAAATACATTTTTTGTCATAGAAATTTGCAACCAAACCAAATATAAACCACTACCACATTATTGACTCTATCTTGGTAATCACATGTCGGCTGTAATGCTGTTGTGTAAGTCTGTCCAGATAACTAACTGTATATTGCAGTGATAAAAGACTGCTGAACTAGGCTTCTGGTTTGATACAGGTAGTTTTTATACTACAGACAAATAAAAACTTGGCCACACATCCTCACTGTGCCTCTTATTATGTGTCTCATAGTTCATCTGCGTGTAGTTTAAAGATGGAGACAAGATGGGTTACACGTACATGTCCCTACAATAACAACTTCCACCGAGATGATGGACAGGGAACCTTAAAGCGTCTTTTTTTACATCTCTAAGATTTTCTGTTACTTGAGCTTTGTAAATTATCAAAGGCAAGTCTCTCATTCTTTACAAAGCTTCACAAACTTTGATGTAAAGATCAATACCAGAGTTCCCATCATCCTCTAAGGGATCTGGAACATGGTTCTTTAGGACAGTCATTCCTCGCTCAGTCAGTTGGACTTAAGACCCTGGAACAACACTGCAGTTATCATCCATCTCTGTCACACTTGATTCAAAGTCAATGCCATAAGATTCTGGTTCACAGAGCACTGCATCATCCATACTGTGCATAATGCCGGCACACCATAATGCCATTGGGGATTGGTTTCCTGCAGTACGTATTCCATGAAAGTTCCACAGCTCTATGAATTGTTCAAGGGTTGCATTGATTCTTGGTAAATAGATGAGCTGCAGGGCAAATAGGTCTAGCTCACTGGTTGAATCTAGCAAGCAAGAAACGTCTAAGAAATTACACATATCTTTGTAAAATGCAATCACACGTCTGCTCATTTCCCTCCAAAGTCTCTTGGTTCTAACATTGTGGACACTGCGTCCTGCTCTGAAGCTATCACGATT